CCAGGAGCTCAGGGGAGCAGGCACAGAGCAGATACATGGAGCTGTAGAATGTTGGGATGCTGGAGGAACAGGGCAGCCCCAAGAGCTCAGGGAAGCAGGCATAGAGCAGCTATGGGGAGCAGGGAATATTGGGGGGCTGGAGGGACAGAGCAGCCCCAAGAGCTCAGGGGAGCAGGCACAGATGAGCTCTAGAGGAGCTGGAGAATTTTGGGGTTCTGGAGGAACAGGACAGCCCCAGGTGCTCAGGGGAGCAGTTACAGACCAGGTACAGGGGAGCTGGAGAATGTTGGGGGGCTGGAGGGACTGGGCAGCCCCAGGAGCTCAGGGGAGCAGTTACAGACCAGGTACAGGGGAGCTGGAGAATATTGGGGGGCTGGAGGGGCAGGGCAGCCCCAGGAGCTCAGGGGAGCAGGCCAGATACAGGGGAGCTGGAGAATGTTGGGGGCTGCAGGGACAGGGCAGCTTCAGGAGCTCAGGGGAGCAGGCACAGAGCAGCTTTAGGGGAGCTGGAGAATATTGGGGGGCTGGAGGGGACAGGGCACTTTCAGGAGCTCAGGGAGCAGTTACAGAGCAGATACAGGGGAGCTGGAGAATATTGGGGGCCAGAGGGACAGGACAACCCCAGGAGTTCAGGGGAGCAGCTACAGAGCAGCTTTAGGGAGCTGGTGTATAGTGGGGGGCCAGAGGGACAGGGCAGAACCAGGAGCTCAGGGGAGCAGGCACAGACCAGATACATGGAGCTATAGAATGTTGGGGTTCTGGAGGAACAGGGCAACCCCAAGAGCTCAGGGAAGCAGGCATAGAGCAGCTATGGGGAGCTAGGGAATGTTGAGGGTCTGGAGGGACAGAGCAGCCCCAGGAGCTCAGGGGAGCAGACACAGAGTAACTTTAGGGAGCTGGGGTATAGTGGGGGGCCAGAGAGACAGGGCAGCCCCAGGAGCTCAGGGGAGCAGACACAGATGAGCTCCAGAGAAGCTGGAGAATTTTGGGGTGCTGGAGGAACAGGGTAGCCCCAGGTGTTCAGGGGAGCAGTTACAGACCAGATACAGGGGAGCTGGAGAATATTGGGGTGCTAGAGGTACAGGACAGCTTCAGGAGCTCAGGGGAGGAGTTCCAGACCAGGTACAGGAGAGCTGGTGAATATTGGGGGGCTGGAGGGACAGGGCAGACCCAGGAGCTCAGGGGAGCAGCTACAGAGCAGCTTTAGGGCAGCTGGAGAATGTTGGGGGTCCAGAAGGACAGGGCAGCCTCAGGAGCTCAGGGGAGCAGGCACAGACCAGCTTTCGGGCACCTGGAGAATGTTGGGGGGCTAGAGGGACAGGGTACCTTCAGGAGCTCAGGGGAGCAGTTACAGACCAGGTACAGGGGAGCCGGAGAATATTGGGGAGCCAGAGGGACAGGGCTGCCCCAGGAGCTCAGGGGAGTAGGCACAGAGCAGCTTTAGGGGAACTGGGGAATATTGGGGGGCTGGAGGGGACAGGGCACTTTCAGGAGCTCAGGGGAACAGTTACAGACGAGATACAGGAGAGCTGGAGAATATTGGGGGGGGCAGAGGAACAGGGCAGGCCCAGGTATCCAAGGGGAGCATTTACAGACCAGGTACAGGGGAGCTGGAGAATATTGGGGGGCCAGAGGGACAGGGCACCTTCAGGGGCTAAGGGGAGGAATTACAGACCAGATACAGGAGAGCTGGAGAATTTTGGGGGGCTGGAGGGGCAGGGCAGGCCCAGGAGCTCAAGGGAGGAGTTACAGACCAGATACAGGAGAGCTGGAGAATACTGGGGAGCTGGAGGGACAGGGAAGACTCAGGAGCTCAGAGGAGCAAGTACAGACCAGGTACAGGGGAGCTGGAAAATATTGGGGGGCTGGAGGGACAGGGCAGACCCAGGAGCTCAGGGGAGCAATTACAGACCAGGTACAGGAGACCTGGAAAATATTGGGGGGCTGGAGGGACAGGGCAGACCCAGGAGCTCAGGGGAGCAAGTACAGACCAGATACAGGAGAGCTGGAAAATATTGGGG